GATTCAAATATTATTCATAGATAGACTGGATCATAAACCCACAGTTCATCGGTCTCAACAAACACACCGCAAAAAGAAGATTACATCAAATAGATCTCCACAAGAGAGGGGGAGAACATTGTATTGAGATCCAAAAAGAGAGAAGAAGCCATCTAGCTACTAACTATGGACCCATAGGTCTGAAGTAAACTACTCACACTTCATCAGAGGGGCTTGGATGATGATGTAGAAGCCCTCCGTGATCGACGCCCCTTCCGGCGGAGCTCCGGAACAGGCCCCAAGATGGGATCTCATGGATACAGAAAGTTGCGGCGGTGGAATTAGGTTTTTGGCTCCGTCCCCGATCGTTTGGGGGTACGTATAAGTATATATAGGAGGAAGGAGTACGTCGGTGGAGCTTCGAGGGGCCCACGAGGCAGGGGGTGCACCCTAGGGGGGGCGCCCTCCACCCTCATGACCGCCTCGTGGCTTTCTTGACGGAGGGTCCAAGTCTCCTGGATCTTATCTGATGAGAAAATCACGTTTCCGAAGGTTTCATTCCGTTTGGACTCCGTTTGATATTCTGTTTCTCTAAAACACTGAAATAGGCAAAAAGCAGCAATTCTGGGCTGGGCCTCCGGTTAATAGGTTTGTCCCAAAAATAATATAGAAGTGGATAATAAAGCGCAATAATGTCCAAAACAGTAGATAATATAGCATGGAGCAATCAAAAATTATAGATACGTTGGAGACGTATCAAGCATCCCCAAGCTTAATTCCTTCTCGTCCTCGAGTAGGTAAATGATAAAAAGAGAATTTTTGATGTGGAGTGCTACTTGGCATAATTTTAATGTAATTCTTCTTAATTGTGGTATGAATATTCAGATCTGAAAGATTCAAGACAAAAATTCATATTGACATAAAAATGATAATACTTCAAGCATACTAACTAAGCAACTATGTCTTCTCAAAATAACATGGCCAAAGAAAGTTCATCCCTACAAAATCATATAGTTTAGTCATGTTTCATTTTCATCACACAAGAATGCTCTCATCATGCACAACCCCGATGACAAGCCAAGCAATTGTTTCATACTTTAGTAATCTCAAACCTATAAACTTTCATGCAATATATGAGCGCGAGCCATGGACATAGCACTATGGGTGGAATAGAATATAATGAGGGGGTTATGTGGAGAAGACAAAAAAAGGAGAAAGTCTCACATCAACGAGGCTAATCAATGGGTTATGGAGATGCCCACTGATTGATGTTAATGCAAGGAGTAGGGATTGCCATGCAACGAATGCACTAGAGCTATAAATGTATGAAAGCTCAACGAAAGAAACTAGTGGGTGTGCATCCAACTTGCTTGCTCACGAAGACCTAGGGCACTTGAGGAGGCCCATTGTTGGAATATACAAGCCAAGTTCTATAATGAAAAATTCCCACTAGTATATGAAAGTGATAACATGCGAGACTCTCTACTATGAAGATCATGGTGCTACTTTGAAGCACAAGTGTGGTAAAAGGATAGTAACATTGTCCCTTCTCTCTTTTTCTCTCATTTTTGGGCCTTTTTTTATGGCCTTTCTCTTTTTTTGGGCCTTCTCTTTTTCATGGCTTTTTTTATTCCTCACTTGGGACAATGCTCTAATAATGATTATCATCACACTTCTATTTATTTACAACTCAATGATTACAACTCGATACTAGAACAAAGATGACTCTATATGAATGCCTCCGGCGGTGTACCGGGATATGCAATGAACCAAGAGTGACATGTATGCAAGAATTATGAACTGTGGCTTTGCCACAAATACTATGTCAACTACATGATCATGCTAAGCAATATGACAATGATGAACGTGTCATGATGAATGAAATGATGGAAAGTTGCATGGCAATATATCTCAGGATGGCTATGGAAATGCCATAATAGGTAGGTATGGTGGCTGTTTTGAGGAAGATATAAGGAGGTTTATGTGTGAAAGAGCGTATCATATCACGGGGTTTGGATGCACCGGTGAAGTTTGCGCCAACTCTCAATGTGAGAAAGGGCAATGCACGGTACCGAAGAGGCTAGCAAGGATGGAAGGGTGAGAGTGCGTATAATCCATGGACTCAACATTAGTCATAAAGAACTCACATACTTATTGCAAAAATCTACAAGTCATCAAAAACCTCGGCACTACGCGCATGCTCCTAGGGGGATAGATTGGTAGGAAAAGACCATCGCTCATCCCCGACCGCCACTCATAAGGAGGACAATCAAATAACACCTCATGTTTCAAATTTGTTGCATAACGTTTACCATACGTGCATGCTACAGGACTTGCAAACTTCAACACAAGTATTTCTCAATTTCATAACTACTCAACTAGCATGACTTTGATATTATTACCTCCATATCTCAAAACAATCATCAAGCATCAAACTTTTCTTAGTATCCAACACACTCATAAGAAAGTTTTATTATTAATCTTGCATACCAAGCATATTAGGATTTTAAGCAAATTACCATGCCATTAAGACTCTCAAAATAATCTAAGTGAAGCATGAGAGATCTATAGTTTCTATAAAACAAATCCACCACCATGCTCTAAAAGATATAAGTGAAGTACTAGAGCAAAACTATAAAGCTCAAAAGATATAAGTGAAGCACATAGAGTATTCTATCAAATTCCAAATCATGTATGGCTCTCTCAAAAGGTGTGTACATCAAGGATGCTTGTGGTAGACTAACAAGCAAAGACTCAAATCATAAAAGACGCTCCAAGCAAAACACATATCATGTGGTGAATAAAAATATAGCTCCAAGTAAAGTTATCGATAGAAGTAGACGAAAGAGGGGATGCCTTCCGGGGCATCCCCAAGCTTTGGCTTTTATGTGTCCTTATATTATCTTGGGGGTGCCATGGGCATGCCCAAGCTTAGGCTCTTGCCACTCCTTGTTCCATAATCCATCAAATCTTTACCCCAAACTTGAAAACTTCACAACACAAAACTTAAAGTAGAAAATCTCGTGAGCTCCGTTAGCGAAATAAAACAAAAGACCACTTCAAGGTACTGTAATGAACTCATTCTTTATTTATACTAGTAGAATGCCCGTGCATTGCCACGGGCTTTTTAAATATTTTGCTGAAGTTATAAAAAGATAATGTATGTTAAATTTCAAAGGTAGAGACAATATAACACATACACCATTGCATAATAATTGAAGTTGAGTCCCCTCTCCCCTCCCTCCTCCCGAATCGCCTCGCGTGCAACCGGGAGGAAACTCTAGCCACTGCCAGCGGGGGCGGCGCGCACGGCTCGGGTGCTGGCTAGTGGCCATGACCATGAGGGCGGCTAGCTTTCGGCATTCGGTGGTGGGGGTGGTTGGCCTATTTTGGTTGCGCATCCCCTGTTCCGCTGGTGGATAGTGCTCACCAGGGTGAAAACTTTGTTTGCCTTTGGCCGACTGATGGCAACGGTGTGTGTGGGCGTTGTATCCTTCCTAAAGGCTCCGTCATGGCTGTTCTTGATGCTCTGGGACGCTCTGGGTGAAGACCCTGATCCTTTGGATTGGGTGGTGGTAGCGCTACACGTCATGATCTTCTTGAAGACGCCGCTTTGGAGGCCCTGATCCGTCGATGTTCGACTGCTCCTCTTCGTGGTGTCACGTTGAGGGATTCTTCAAAATCTAGCGATGATTTATCTTCCAACCCATAGTGCGCTATGTTCTGCTTGGAGTTTGTAGTTGTTCTCCAGCACCTCTGTATCCTGCCCCGGGTGTGTGTGGGCATGTGTTGTATGCGGTGGTTTGCGATTGATCGATGATCATTGCTTTATATATAAAACGGGGCAAAAGTCTTTATCGGCAATAATTGAAGTATGTGTGATGATATTTCTAAAACATCATTAGAATCCATCATTTTTTATCTCTGGTGAACAAAGTGGAACATATAAAAAGTCTGACTAACACATTTTTTATTTGCAATAAAAAACTAGATACTGCTAATTACATATAAATATATAAATATATACTCCCTCCGTTTCTAAATGTAAGGCTTTTTAGACATTTCAAGTGCACTACAACTTACAGATGTATGTAGTCATATTTTAGAATGTAGGTTCACTCATTTTGCTCTAGAAGTAGTCACTTGTTGAAATCTCTAAAAAACTTATATTTGGAAATAGAGGGAGTACAAATGATATTTTATACTCTTTCTTCTCTACTCTTATAAAAATAGAGTGGGTGATGATGGTGTGCCTGCCATCATGCAATATAGGCCGTCCGATTTATATCTGACGGATAGGAAGGAAACTACGGCAATTTTGCAAAAAGATACCCACACCCCTCTCCACATTTGCAAATAAGGCTTTCCCAAATTCATCCTTTTCTCCCACAAGATAAACTACTCATACAAATGCATCTTGATGTTCCGTGCAAAGCATGGGCACCTTGCTAGCTTCTTATAAAAAACAGAGTTGGTGATGATGGTGTGCCTGCCATCTTGCAATATAGGCCGTCCGATTTATATCTAACGGATAGGAAGGAAACTATGGCAATTTTGCAAAAAGATACCCACACCCCTCTCACATTTGCAAATAAGGCCTTCCCTCGTTCATCCTTTTCTCTTATAAGATAAACTACTCATACAAATGCATCTTGATGTTCCGTGCAACACACGGGCATCTTGCTAGTTACATATATATATATTTGTGGCTAGGAGTTTCTAGTACAAAGTTCGCCATGTACAATTGTTTTTGCTTTTTTCCTAAACTACCCTCCCACCTCATCCACTCTCTCGCTCACTCACCCACTCTCTGTCTCGCCTGCATCATCGGCGCCTCTCCCTAGCTCGTGTCGCCGGTGCCTCTCCCTTACCCGCGCCGCCGGTGCCTCTCCCTTGCCCGCGCCGCCGGTGCCTCTCCCTCGCCCGTGTTGCCGGCGCCTCTCCATTGGCTCCGTCGTCGGTGCCAAGATCTCATTTTTATTCTCCGATGGCTGATTTCGAGTGCGTCGGCTCGATCTGCAATGGCCTTCCTCCACTCCAACGCCGTGCGGTACGTCATCCCTTCCTAGCTCCCTCGCTCCTTCTCATCTGGATTCACTCACTCCCGTCTCTTCTCCCTCTCTGACCCCGTCTCCATTACCAGGATGATGCCATGGAAGGGCCACCATGGCAAGGAGCAGGATGACGCCTTGGAAGGTTCACCGACAGGAGCAACTACGTACGGTCTGGTCTTCTCCACTGACATGGATATCGACATGGAGGTCCGCCATGGAAGGCCTGGAGCTCGTCATGGAGGGTCCCTCCTCTCTCTTCCCCTCCCTCTACTCTGTTGGTTGGTTGGACGGAAGACCATCGCTCGTCCAGCTCTGCTTCTTCCACCGCTGCTCCCGTCCCACCATAGTGCCACAGACGCTATGCCAAGCACGGAAGGTATCACCCTCCTCCCTATTTGCTTGCTTACTGCAACTTATCTTCAGAGATGATAAAACTGTAGAAATTTGAAACTGCAGAAAACTGCAGAAATCTTTGGAGTTCCTTCTTCAGAAACTTTTATTCTGGCGCAGTTTGTACAGATTTTTATGTACAATACGCAAAGTCATATGACTGCTGAAAATGGACCGTCGTATATGCTTGTACAAGGTTGGGGTAGGCACGGTCAGCGTTGGTGTATTTTCAGTTTGTACTGTCATAATTTTCAGTTTGTAAAACTGAGAAGTGTATTTTCCATTTTGAAACTGAGATCTGCTTGCACTATCATACAATAATTTTCAGTTTGTAGATGACTTTAATTGATGGATTTCTTCTCTGGAATTAGATTCGGGGAGCCACCTCGATCCAGAGTACTCGTAATCCATTATAGGGCAGTTCAAAGCCTGCCTCTGGAAGCATTGGTTGACCTATTGGCACAACCCAGATTAGAACCTTGTCAGATTTTCCTTCACTTTGTTCACAACCTTGCTGCTTGGCTCCATCTTTTGGAAGATTGGCACCATTATGTAATTACTGTACTTATCTTTATCTTTTACTCGTTGATTACAATGTACCAGCATCTGAATTTTTTGTGCCCTGATGCAGGGGTGGATGCCAATACTCTTAGAATGGTCATTGGAGCAATATACACAATAGTGATGTTTGTCGGCATCAACAACTGTGCAACCGTTCAACCAATTGTTTTAATCGAGAGAACAGTTTGTACAGAGAGAGGGCTGCTCCATTGCTTAGGTAAGAATATAAAAGATCCTTGGCAGCTCCTGAGATTATTTGTGCCTTGTCAATGTGCAAATGCAATTTGTCTTGTGTATTGCATATGCACATCACATGGATTATGCTTGCATTTACTTCAAAATTTACGGCAATCACTAGTTGTCTTTTGAGCGAAAACTGAAATTTAAGTTCTCTGCTGAATTTGGGGTGTACTGTTGGTTAGTTTGTTACTATAAGTACCAACATTTCAGTAAAAGATTATTGATTTGTTTTTTAAAATCCATATCTTGAACTAAAAATCCTTGCTACATGTTATTTGTTAATGGTAATAGTTAGTGTTAGATTCTGTTATATGGAATCTACTTTATCATGGACATGCCTAGGGGCTTAGTGTAGTTATTGTGGCCCTGGCCGTCAGAGCTGAACTATCACTTGTTATCCCTACAGATGTTCGTGCTAACTGAATATGCTAATTTGCATTGCTTTTGTTGCATAACCATGTTTTTTTCTGAAGCTACTTATGCAGCGAGGGTACATGTTGTTCTAGATGGCTCTGTAGACAGTGAGAATGAGGAGACTCAAACTCATGAAGATTCTAATGAGGAAATCGATTATGATAAATAACAACACAGGTAATCTTTCAGACAGACACACCAAAAAAATAGTTCGGTCCTTAATTCATTACTTCCAAAATGTAAAGTAAATTCCAGAGACACATAACACAGAGTCTTTTGTGCTAAACTTTCTAATTAACCGCTCCAAAATATGTACTCGCCACAAACAAACTTTCTAATTCGCCAGTCTTCATCTTTGACTCACTACAAATAAACCTATGAAAATAGATGTCTGCTAAAAATCCTGCAAAAATTCCCATAAAATATTTCAATAAAATCTAAGAAGTCTTCATCTTTGAAAATCTACCACGGTGTCATAGGTTAAAATCCAATCACTTCATCATTGGTCCAATTAATTTTTTATAACAAAAGTTGTTCAATTTGTGACTAAAAAAGTGGCTGAATTTTAGAGTGGTAATATGGTATACCTCGGATAGGTTGGTCTATGATAACCGGAGGTGGAGTGGACCAGCATCTAATGTGAGGCAATCACTGGCGGTCTGGTCGTGGTTGTGGGTATGCGTTCGGTGCCTAGGGATCAGAGTCCGAATAGCAAAGTTCATCGATATTGTAGTTATTGTGGCCCTGGCTGTCAGAGCTGAACTATCGCTTGTTATCCCTACAGATGTTCGTGCTAACTGAATATGCTAATTTGCATTGCTTTTGTTGCATAACCATGTTTTTTTTCTGAAGCTACTTATGCAGCGAGGGTACAGGTTGTTCTAGATGGCTCTGTAGATAGTGAGAATGAGGAGACTCAAACTCATGAAGATTCTAATGAGGAAATCGATTATGATAAATAACAACACAAGTAATCTTTCAGACAGACACACCAAAAAAAAATAGTTCGGTCCTTAATTCATTACTTCCAGAATGTAAAGTAAATTCCAGAGACACATAACACAGAGTCTTTTGTGCTAAACTTTCTAATTAACCGCTCCAAAATATGTACTCGCCACAAATAAACTTTCTAATTCGCTAGTCTTCATCTTTGACTCACTACAAATAAACCTATGAAAATAGATGTCTGCTAAAAATCCTGCAAAATATTCCCATAAAATATTTCAATAAAATCTAAGAAGTCTTCATCTTTGAAAATCTACCACAATGTCATAGGTTAAAATCCAATCACTTCATCATTGGTCCAATTAATTTTTTATAACAAAAGTTGTTCAATTTGTGACTAAAAAAGTGGTTGAATTTTAGAGTGGTAATATGGTATACCTCGGATAGGTTGGTCTATGATAACCGGAGGTGGAGTGGATCAACATCTAATGTGAGGCACTCACTGACGGTCTGGCCGTGGTTGTGGGTATGCGTCCGGCGCCTAGGGATCAGAGTCCGAATAACAGAGTTCGTCGGTGTGGGCTAGCAATGTTAAGACTTTAAAAAGATTATCATCAATTGTGCACTACATATCTGATCTTGACAGTGCAATATGAACATGACTGATGTTTAATATAGCGAACAGAATATCAAATTAGAAATTGTGGTGTTGTTTGGCTGGAGGGGACGGTAATTCAGGGAGGGGTAGGGAGGGTGGATTATGAGTTTGAGGGTTGAAGTCCCATCATTTTAGAAAGTTCAATATACATCGACACTTCATGATGATTCATCATAGGATGCATTTCAAGATACAAATCAGTCACTCACAGTTTTTGTCTGTCTTACCAAACATGAAAGTAAAACTAAAACCAGAATTTACATGCCTAATCCCACCATGATGTCCCACCCTGTCCCAGTTGATGCCCAAGCCAAATAATCCAGGGAAGATATGTAGAACAATGTAATGTATGACCGGAGAACCGAACTACTAAGATCAATACAGTGAGAAAACTAAGTTTTTGAAAAGTAGTCAATGATAAAAAAATGTTAGAACTTCATCAGTTGACACCATAACAAGTAAAAACACAGAAGACATGTGACTGCTAATTACTCAATAGATGTAGATCAAGTTCCCTCTATAATACCTGCAATGTTAGGAGTCATCTAAGCCCAAACAGGCATCATGCCTTCTCATTTATCCAACCAGAAACCTCCTCTAACAAGGCACGGCCCTGTCCAATGGTGGCACATTTTTCACTCGGGCATACCATGTTGGCATGAGAAATAATCTCAAGAGCATCCCATTTAACCAAAAATGTTACCATTCCAGATTAGCCATGCAGCTAGTTGTATCCTATGCGGACATGCATCTCTTGTTAAATTAGAATTCATCACAATAACAAAAACGCAAAGCGGAGAAAGCACATATGTTGGTGTCACGGTAAGCAGCCAATTAGTACAAGCTTCCACATTATGCAAAACTGCACTACAAAGATATTATTACCGATATGCGATATTCTATTTACATGTAGAAGGTAGATTGCATCGTCATAGAAAGTATAGAAAATTTCAATGCTTACAGACTTACCTTCCCATTATTCTTTCTCAGATCAGCAGAGATGAATCGGCTTCCACCGGATCCTTAGCTGGTGTAGCCTCAACTGCTTGCTCAGGACGATTGCTTAGCATGACGTGCAGCCTCCCGCGGCAGTAGTTCAACTCCTGCACAATTACACAAAAGGCATAGACCGTCAGAACATAGTCCAATGGTCTCTAGACCTGGCGTACATCGGCGCCTCCATGGCTGCTGAACAGGATGAAGAGGAGCACTGGAGGACCATGGCAGCGGTGAGACCCAACCCGTCGCAGCGCCTAGTGAGCAGGCGCACGGACACACTAGTAAAGCATAGCACAGCGGCGACATGTCCTCCATCTCGATGCTTCAGCCGGGCGTCACGATGCAGTCACACAATGACCTACACTCCATGATAACCTCTCGATTCCGCCGCCCCCAAATCTCACGGCGTCGAGGTGGCCATGGGAGGGCTCGCCAGAGTGGTTTAGGCGAGGATCAGGGGGTTGTGGAGATCTGGGTGGAGGTGGTTTGGAGAGGTTCGGGGGTGAGGGCAGGTCTGGATAGGATGGAGACCGTGAAAGGAAACAAAAAACATAGGTGATTTCCTCCCTTTTTTCCATGCGGAAGAGGAGGTGGAGTCAAACGTTTTATTTGGAAAAAAATCGGTGGGGGAGGTCGATCGATGCGAGGGGTTGCGTGTGAGCGAACGAACGACGTATGGGCGAGTAGAGATTGGTGTTAAATCTACTGTATTCCAACTTCTCTATGGATTACAAACTATTTTACTAGCCATAGATTCATCAAAATAAGCAAACAACACACGAAAAACAGAATCTGTCAAAAACAGAACAGTCTGTAGTAATCTGTAGCTAGCGCAAGACCTGGAACCCCAAAATTCTAAAATAAATTGCTGGACGTGAGGAATTTATCTATTAATCATATTCAAAAAGAATTAACTAAATAGAACTTTCCAAATAAAAATGACAGCAGTTCTCGTGAGCGCTAAAGTTTCTGTTTTTTACAGCAAGTTCAACAAGACTTTCCCCAAGTCTTCCCAACGGTTCCACTTGGCACAAACACTAATTAAACACAAAAAACACAACCAAAACAGAGGCTAGATAAATTATTTATTACTATAGGAGCAAAAAGCAAGGAATAAAAATAAAATTGGGTTCCCTCCCAACAAGCGCTATCGTTTAACGCCCCTAGCTAGGCATAACAAGCAAGAATAGATCTAGGTATTGCCATCTTTGGTAGGCAATCCATAAGTGGCTGTCATGATAGATTCATATGGTAATTTTATTTTCTTTCTAGGGAAGTGTTCCATGCCCTTTTTAATAGAAATTTAAATCTAATATTCCCTTCCTTCATATCAATAATTGCACCAACCGTTCTAAGGAAAGGTCTACCGAGAATAATAGGGCAAGAAGGATTGCAATCTATATCAAGAACGATAAAATCTACGGGCACATAATTCCTATTTTCAACAATAAGAACATCATTAATTCTTCCCATAGGTTTATTAATAGTGGAATCCACAAGATGCAAGTTTAGAGAGCAATCATCAAAATCACGGAAATCTAGCAAATCACACAAAGTTTTGGGAATAGTAGAGACACTAGCACCCAAATCACACAAAGCATAAAACTCATAATCTTTAATTTTAATTTTAATAGTAGGTTCCCACTCATCATAAAGTTTTCTAGGGATAGAAACTTTCAACTCAAGTTTTTCTTCATAAGATTGCATCAAGGCATCAACGATATGTTCGGTAAAGACTTTATTTTGACTATAAGCATGGGGAGAATTTAGCACGGATTGCAACAAGGAAATACAATCAATTAAAGAGCAATTTTCATAATTAAATTTCTTGAAATCCAATATAGTGGGTTTAGCATCATCTAGGGTTTTATTTCTTTTAATCCCACTTTTATCAATTTCATCATCAAGATCTAAATACTCTGAATTTTTAGAACACCTTCTAGGTAAAGGAGGATCATATTCAGTCCCATCATTATCAAGATTAATATTGGAAAACAAAGATTTAATAGGGGACACATTAATAACTTTTAGATCTTCATCATTATTTTCATAGGAATCCGGTTTAGCGGCCATCTTATTGACTAAGATAGCTTGCATATCCGAAATTTCAGCAGTTAATTTTTCAAGATGAGCAATTTGGGATCTTATATCATCAAATTCTTTAGACATATCATCGAGCTGTTTATTCATATAACTCATAAAACCTTTTTGTTCCTTAAGCTCATTTCTAAAGAAATTATTATGCTCAAATTGCAAAACCATAAATTTCCTGACGTTGTTTTCGATATCCTCTAACCTTTTAAGGTGAAGATCACCAAATCTAGGAAGAGCCATCGCGACAACAAGCAATCCAACACACGAGCAAACAAAAAGCAAACGGGCAAAAAGAGACAAATAGAGAAGGAGGATAGAGAGAGAGAGAGGGCGAATAAAACGACAAGGGTGAAGTGGGGGAGAGGAAAACGAGAGGCAAATGGCAAATAATGTAATGCGGGAGATAGGGATTGTGATGGGTACTTGGTATGTTGACTTTTGCGCAGACTCCCCGGCAACGGCGCCAGAAATTCTTCTTGCTACCTCTTGAGCATTGCGTTGGATTTCCCCGAAGAGGAGAGGATGATGCAGCAAAGTAGCGTAAGTATTTCCCTCAGTTTTTGAGAACCAAGGTATCAATCCAGTAGGAGGCTACACGCGAGTCCCTTGTACCTACACAAAAACAATAGTTCAACGCAACGAACGCGCTTAGGGGTTGTCAATCCCTTCATGTTCACTTACGAAAGTGAGATCTGATAGAGATGATAAATAATATTTTTGCTATTTTTGGTATAGAGATGCAAAGTAAAAAGTAAAAGCAAAGCAATAATAAAGTGATGGAGATTGATATGATGGGAAAGAGACCCCGGGGCCATAGTTTTCACTAGTGGCTTCTCTCAAAAGCATAAGTATTCAACGGTGGGTGAACAAATTACTGTTGAGCAATTGACAGAATTGAGCATAGTTATGAGAATATCTAGGTATGATCATGTATATAGGCATCACGTCCGAGACAAGTAGACCGACTCCTGCCTGCATCTACTACTATCACTCCACTCATCGACCGCTATCCAGCATGCATCTAGAGTATTAAGTTAAAAACAGAGTAATGCCTTAAGTAAGATGACATGATGTAGAGGGATAGTTTCATGCAATATGATAAAAACCCCATCTTGTTATCCTCGATGGCAACAATACAATACGTGCCTTGCTGCCCCTTCTGTCATTGGGAAAGGACACCGCAAGATCGAACCCAAAGCTAAGCACTTCTCCCATGGCAAGAACAACCAATTTACTAGGCCAAACCAAACTGATAATTCGAAGAGA